ACCTGGATCAGACAGGAGAACCCTTCCAACCTTCAGCTGAGGGGTCCAGGTCTGAGGAAACGCTGCAGAGCCGCAGCTCCAAGGACAAGCTAGAGGCGCCCTCTGGTGGTGAGGAGGCAGAAGACCTCACATCCCAGCAGGAGGAGACTGGATCTGTCACGGCTTCAGACCCAAACTCTCTGGATGTGTCGGTGGGAAGTGACTCCCCCCCTTCGGAGCCGGGATCCACAGGGGACGCCTCAAGCATCTCTGAAGGCTCAGAGGTCGCTGGAAAAGACCCAGAACTGTCCCCCGAGACCCCGACGGAGGCTGGAGCCAACGTGCACACTGACGTGCACATCCCTGCATCCTCTCCGTCTCCCGAACCCCCCCCCAGTCCTGAGACCCCTCCTCCAGACTGCATCACAGAGATCCGGGACCTGGTAACGGAGGTGATCGAGGTGGAGGAGCTGGTGCAGCACTACCCCGGTGAAGAGTAGGGGCGGGTCAGAACCAGAACCTCTACAGAGACTTTTAAACAAATATGCACGAAGTTACACGAGTCATTCGAACTAGCCACTGCTCAGCTGACCCGAGCCCGTTTGGTTTCAGAACCAAACAGAGTTTTTAGGAGGATTTTTAATGTTTCCGCTCTGATGAAGTTAAATTTCATCCCAGCATGAAGACCGGAAGCGGATCCGTCCTGACTGTGGCGCTGTAGAGCTGCAGTCACACAGCTTTAACCCCCAAAACCGGCCTTGAGTGTGCCAGGGCCGCTCCGGGGGAAAACTCAGGAATGTTCGAGCTTCCCAGTTCGCAGGAAAACAAAACGTACTTCCAGAAGAACTGGTAATGTCACAAAAGCCTGAAGACCAAAAAACCCACGATGCTTCGTGTCAACTACAGAAACACAACATGAGTTCAACTGCAAATAAACTCAAGAGTTCATCCATCCAACCAAAACCAGTCTGGGTTCTTCGGAGAACCGCGTTAGGGTAGATACAGGTGTGTGGTTAAGGCTCTTATTTTGAAAGAAGTTCCTGCTGCAGGAGTAAAAACCTCCCACTGAATCTTTTATTTTCGATTTTACTCATGAAAGTCTCACCCAGGACCTTCGGTAGCAAAAACGATAGAGACGGAATGCAGTCAGGTTCTGGAGCTCCACAGGGCGCCGTACTCGGGCAGCTGAGTGTGTGGGGATTTAAATGTGAGTGTTTTCACACCGTTGTTGCATTTTCACCAAAAGTGAACAAAAACAAGCAAAAGTTTCTCTGCCTCTCGTTCTTATTATGTTTTTGTATTTTTGATATTTTATATTTTTTAACTGCTATAAATATCCTCAGGGATATTCCTGATTATCCTGCCGGTGTTTCAAGAAGTTTTCCTCAGAAAACTTGTTGAAACTACTCGCGTCAGTAAAACAAATTGGTTTTAAACTTTCTGATCATCGTTTGGTTTAAATAAGACGATCGTCCTGTTTTAACGTTCCTGGGGGGAACCGTAATCCTGATCGTTGGAAGTTTACATGAATCTGTTTAGACGTAAAAAACAGCACGCTGCTGATGAGTTTGAGGAGAATGAAGACATTAAATGAGCCGTATGTTTACCAGATTCATAAATAAAAGTGTCCACAACAAGTCTGAGGCTCTGATCCTGGTGATGAGGCTCCAGTCTTCATGTTTCACACATCATCTGGACCTGATTTAAAATCTCAAGACCTAACGGTTTTCTCCAGAGTGCCTAAATAATACCCAGTGTAGCCTTGGACGTCTCACGTAGCGGTTACCGTGGAAACGGGTTTGGTTGTCTCACAGAGATGCTCAGTAGAAGGTTGTGTGTGAACATTTCTGCTTTGAACCTGTGATTTAATCAAACATGACCTTGGATGTGATCATGTGGTGTTTTAGGAAGGATGATGTCTGGAATAATAAGAATAATCTGGCTGATTAAACATCAGTGATGTTTAATGAGTCATCAAATGAATCTGAACCCGTCCGACGCCAGTGTGCAGGTCTACGGTACCCATGTGATGAGAGCTCTCGGCGATCTGGCTGGCCAGGATGTCTTCTCAGCACGCACGTTGTTTTGATATCAAAGGACATCTTGTGGATATTAAAGGCCGTAGCATCAGCGGGTCAGGAGTGGGTGCCTGCGGGCGGCTGACGAAGCCGTTTTGGTTCTGAAGGGTGGTTCTACACCGCTAAAGATCTGCTATATCTCACAAGAGGCTCTCATTCAGCATTTAGCAGGAGCTGGATTATAGAGGAAGTGATTCTCTATTTAAGGGCCCACTGAAGACGAACCAATCAGAGACCAGAACATGTAGGAGGCGTTCAGAAAGCGTGCTCAGAGGGCTGCTTCCCTCACTGTGGGTTCTAAACATGATATAACGCTAATACACTTATTATTTTTTATTTTGGACCGTTGTGTATGCTCATGTCTATCTTTACTGATACTGGAATGTGACACGACTGATAATAAAATCAAGTCTAATGCATAAATCATGCATTTCTACATGAAACTGTCCTTTTGACTCATTGTTACTGTAAAGCAATCAAGACATTTTTAATCACTTTAGAGGAAAGATTCACTGATCCACATATCTGTATCAAGTTAGAAAAATCATTGTATAAAACTAAATATGAGTTTTTATTAAAGTTAGAGAAAAAGTCTTCTTAGAGTCATGTGACCGCTCTGCTGATAAGGGACTCATAAGCAGTAAGTTTCCTGGTTTAGAAACCAGACAGTTAGGGTTAGGTTGTGTACATAATTATATATAAATAATTATGTATTATATATATAATACATAATTAAATAATTATGTATTATATATATAATACATAATTTAATTATATTGCATTTAATCTTGCATTAAAAGCAAGGCGGAACCTTTGTCATTGCACGATTTCCTCGTAGACCTAATATCACTGACACACAACAATGCACAGTGCTAATGGCTACTAAAACGTAATAAAAACAGAAAGAAGTTGCCTTGCTTGGACTGATGCAGGATTTAGGAAACCCGTCAGCCTCTTTTCTTACCTATGAAAAATAAACTTCCGGACAACAACGGAGTCCGTGTCGCGGACATTTTTCAGAGATCGTCTCTGCTGCGGCTGCCCAGTGGCACCGGAAACTTTACAAAAGTTGCGGTAAGCTATATTTTTAACATTTACGTAACATCTGTGCAGCGCTGAAAGCACCACACAGAATAATTCTTTGCCCTAACAGTAGTTTATGAAAGTAGTCAGACAAACGAGAGGCACCTGGCTGCCGCTGGGAGAACGCTCCGTGTTCTCACTACTCTGTAAACAATCACAAACAACGTGTCTTAAAGCTGAAAACAGAAGTTTAAGTTAAAACAGAAACACTCTGAAACTTTTCTGATGATTTTCTAAACAGTTCTGTCGGGGAGTTAAACGTTTCTGAGACGAGTCTCTGTCTAAACATCACATGCATTACTATCAGGGGCAGCGAGGAACGAGGAAGTTGTGATCAGGCTGGAGATCACACCAGATTCGCTGCTGCAGGTGTGAATCTGCGGGTCTGCAGCATCCCCTTCTTAACGTGACATCAGGACTTCCCATGTAAGGAAGGTCCGCTCACTTGTTCGTCAGATCATTATTTCCTCGCCATGATCTTTTATCATCCCATCATCCTCCAGTCATCCAACTGGAACCAGTTAGTGTTCCTGATCATTCTCAGAATATGCCATGCCTGCTCTGGTGTTAAAAGTTAGTACATTTAAGTCCTTGATCATATTTGTGCCTGTTCTACTGTCATTTTGAAGGATTATTATTTATATGTGTGTTTTTACTACATTATGAGTAGAAATGCTAATAAAAACTCCCAATTTTACAAACAAGTGTAACTGGAAAAATTAGAATCTGGTGCAAAGTCAAATTTATTTCAGTCATTCAACTAGACAGAGAGACTATTTAAAGGCTCAGGAACCCTTTGCAGGTGTTTTCTATTAGTAATTGTAAATTTTAGTTGATTTGGGTTTTGTTTCATATCACACAGTGACATTTGAATAATTAAAATGCATTTATTTATTAAAAGCTTTAGTTTACAGTAATAACTATGTCTAATGTTTGATTCTCTGTCTCATAATTTTAATTAAAAGTTTTACTTTGAGAGCACATTTTTCTGAACAATTAAAATGCGATTAATTAATTACAAACCCTGTAATTAATTAGATTAAAATTTTTAATCAAGTCACAGCCCTAATATATATATATATATAATACATAATTATATATATATACATACGGTATATATATATAATTATGCAGAGTTATTACACCAAAGTTTGCTGTAAATACTGAATTAGTTAAAGGAGCATTTTTACGACTCCTTCCACTTCTCCACTTCTAAAACTAATTTAACGTCGTACATCTTCACTTGTTGTGATCGCAAACACCTCTCACCTCTTCCCGTTTGCTTGTGGTTAAAGATCAACCCCCCCACACTCAGCCTACACCTTTGCTCTGCAGGAGAGTGTGTGTGTGTGTGTGTGTCTTAGTTAATTTTCATTGCTCTAGTCTGTTTAGATACACAAAAATGATCACAGTTATCAATCGCAGTGTTTTATTTTGAAAGTTTTTTTTATTTTGTTGACTTTACTGGCCTGCTGTTGTTTCAGTAGTTTCAGAGTTGACGCGGCTCCCTGGTGACTTGTAAAAAAACCACACACGCTGAAACGATCGCTGCGCTGCACGAGTGTTGGCGGCGCTTCGCAGCTGATGTGAACGAGGGGTAGAGCAGCTGCGAACACCTTATGGAGTTTTTTCTATTATGGAGAACTGGAAAATGATGGAATGTGGCCTGAAGAGACTCAGACTCTCTCCAGCTGGTAAAAAACAGCCCAGTCAGTGATGTTGGGACATAGTATTAAACACTGATTATGACCATAAACCAGCAAAGATAAGACCGAATTTAAACTTCTGACTTGTGCTTTTCATTTAGCAGCTTAATGTCGGCGCTGGGTGTTGCTGAGGTAGAAAACGTGGATTCTGTCGGTTAGATGAGCCTCTTCCCGTTACCTTCGTGTGCAGTTTGCATATACTGGTGAATGTTAAGCCTGTTCTTCAGTTGAAAGTTTGTTGATGGAAGTGCTCGTGGACCCGCTACCAGGTCCGTCAGTTTCAAGTTATGTGACGCTGTGTATGTACATAGTTAACCGGTTAACTGCCATTGTTATTGTAAACTGGTTTGCATCTGGCTGCATGTGGGTGTAATAAGTTTAGTGCCAGTAGAGGGGGCAAGAGCGCCGCTATTAGAATGTTTACTCGAAAACCACAGAAGAATAAGTGAGCTTGTCACATGATCAAATATAAATACGCAGAGATGAAGCATTTATCAACGAGCATGTGGGAGCATTTTAGTTAACCCAATGAGCTCCTCATCACAGCTCTGAGTCTGGCAGGGCGTGGAAATGAAGCCACGCAGCAAAGTGAACCTAGACCAGCAACAGGCCGGAACAAGGGTAACTATTTTAGTAAAACAAAGAAATGTCAGTTATGAGTTAGTTCAGTGTGAGGAAACTAGTGTTTTTAAAAGGCGTGGCTTCCAGAATGTGCTCATCAGCAGCGCTGTGTATTTGACGCCAGAGGCCTGCTGCTCTTCAGGTCCTGACCAAGATGGAACCCCAGGCTCTCAGACCTGAAGCTAACAAGGAAGTGGCAAAAACTGCAGTTCCACCCTCATCCTCTAGGGGCTGACACCAGAAGTAAGCAAACTGCCCATGACTCCGTAGAGCCATAGAATGCAAAGGTCATGACACAGTCCAGACATCTTTCACACACACACACACACTCCTGTTTATAACCACGTCCAGCCTTGGCCTGTACCTATATATATATATATATATGTACACACACACACACACACACACTCCTGTTTATAACCACGTCCAGCCTTGGCCTGTACCTATATATATATATATATGCACACACACACACACACACACACACACACACACACACACACACACGCACACACGCACACACGCACACATGCACACACACACTCCTGTTTATAACCACGTCCAGCCTTGGCCTGTACCTATATATATATATATGTACACACACACACACACACACACACAAACACACACACACACACACACACACACACACACACACACACCTGTTTATCGCTGCTCCAAGTCACATGACCAGCCAGAAGAAGACAGAGCCCTAACCTTATTAAAGAACCATTTTCTATTTTCTACAATGATTTTTCTTCACTTTACAGATTATTTACAATCATAAATCAATACATGTTTTATCTAAAGTGCTTTTAAGGAGACTTGACTGTAAGACAGGAATAATGAATCAGAACATCTGTTTATTGTAGAAATGCTTTATTTTCTGATCTGAAATACACCAAAACTCCCTATATTTATTATATAATTCACTTATTGCACCATATTTGAACTATTGTATAGAAATCTGGGGCACAACATATAAAACTTATATAAATTCTATCTATATATTGCAAAAATAAAAGCAATAAGAATCATTACATGGAGTAATTACAGAGATCCATCTAAGCCGTTATTCATAAAAACAAAAACAGTACAATTCTATCACCTAGTGGACTACAATATTTCTACATTTATGTATAATGCAAACAAAAAAAACCTTCCTAAAATTTACTTAGAAGGTTTATAAAAAGACAGTAAATATGAACTAAAAGGACATGAATTATTTACAACACCTAAGCATAGAATAATTATAAAGGAGCGCTGTGTCTCTATATATGGAGTTAAAATATGGAATAAGCTAGGTAATGTAATCAAGGACGCGAAAATGATATTTACTTAAAAAAAACTACCGTAAATCCGCTAATACAGGCCCGGGCTTGTATTAGACTCAAGCTCATCAAGCTCCAGGCCTTTATTGGAAGGAGGGCCAGAGTTAGAGGCAGGCCTCTGTTTCTATTTGAGCAAAATGAACTAATGGTTCGTTGGAGTTTTTGACAATTAAAATTGCGCCCACACTTTCAAAGTTAAACACATTTCTTTGAACAACGGTAGTTTCTGCTTTTTGGATATTATTTGTGCAATTGTTGGACAAAATGACTTGCTGTGGCATTAATTGCACTAATAGAGCGTCCAAGGAGTCTCCACTTCATTTTTTTCGGTAAGTAAAATTATATTTATGTATTTTAGGTCACTGCCGAGCTGAGCTTAGATGTTAACATGTACTGTTTAACCATGACATTTAAATGTAATAGGGTAAAACCCAGTGCATTTAACATAATGCTGCACTTTAGAAAATGGGTTCAAATATAACATGTTGGTGGAGCTGGGTTCCCACTATCGGCTTGTGGAGCTCTGGGAGACCTCTGTGTTCCACCCGTTCTCCCCTCCCCGCAGCTCGGCTTATTTCTGTCTGATCACAGCTTCTGTCTGCTGCGCAGGCTAACGGCTTGTGGAGCTCTGGGATGGAAACCTTTCCACCCGGTTCTCCCCAGCGGCAGCTCTGCGCATCTCAGATCGCAGCGGCGCTTGTC